CTAAAACATGAGACCTATAATTAAAAATTTTCGAAGAGGAAACAGCGACAAATACCAATCATATTTTATTTCATACAACATAAAATACTATTTTAACATTTAATGAGTATAAAACTCTTTCACATGGTCAAGGTATGAACATAGCATAAAATTGATCCCGTTCATAAAGAAATGATTAGTTAGGTGTTTTACATTCGTTTCCCACACCAAATCTCTGAATTCTGGGGTTGGTTTGACAATCCAGCCACCTCCATTTGGACTCACTCCAAGTCAAGGGTTCTATTGCAGAAAATGAGTAGATGATAAAAAGGCATCTACTTAGGGAATAATTACCAATGCGAAGACAATAGTTTTAAGTTTAAATAGTATTTTTAAATGCTATTGTCAATTTGCTGAAAGTTGTAATTTACAACATAAATGAGCTCACCTTGAATGTTATTTTTTAATTTTATTTTTGACAAGTGTTTTCACAATACCTACAACAGAATTTGCTTTCTATAGTTTTTAAAAAAAAATTATTTGTTTATGTATACGAGAACTGGGGTACAAGCCAGAGGTGTAGAAGGTGAGAGGATTCACCAGAGACAGAGTGGGGAGCAGAACAGGCAGATCTACTGAAACATACTGCTGGGGGGAGCAGCAGGAGAGACAGGAGAAGCCTGCTGTGCCATGTGGGTCAGCTCCCTAGTCAGGGATGGAAATTGTGCTACAGTGGCTGCTGATAGCTTCTTAGTGCTAACACTTAATCCCTTGGGCCACCAGAAAGGCCCCACCTTCTATAGCTTTAAATATGCAAAGGAACCTTATTGAACAACACTTAACAGTTGACAGTACTCAACAAAGAGGCATAGAATAAGAGTATTTTAGAATATGGGTTTCAACTCTTTTCTCTACTCACTAGGTTATAGCCTTGGGACAGTTCACTGAGCTTGACTCAGTTTTCCCATCTGTTAAGTGGAGATAGTCATAGTACTTGCCTGTAAGTTTCATGCAAAAGGCATCTACATATAAATGTGAACTCAAGAAGTTTAAAAAAAAAGTAAGTTACAAAACTCAGGATGAATTTTCTAAAGCAAAATCAAAACCAAGAACATTCAGTTTTCACAATATTTTAAAAATTGAACTGATGGTGTTATCTTTATTGTATCACCATGTTTCGCTGTTGACTCACTATTTAAAATATTTTATGTTAATTTTGTTTTAGCAAAAGTGCTTCAGGTAGTAATACTTTTTTTACCTATGGATTTCAATGCACGTATTTTTGTTGAATGTGATGATAACAAGGGTAGGGATTAGCAGCCCTGATCTTTGCATGGGGCCCAGTTTTTGTGAGTTATAATCCCAAGGGAGCGAATAAAGGGTTATTCATTCAG